ATTTAATTTCTGGTTTGTTTTTAGAAGCATGACATACGTCCACAGGCATGTGGCTCTTCATCTGCGAGGAAGAAACAATGAACTCATTAAAAGTTCTGACCTTCCAGCATGGCTCACAGAGTTCCTTCACATTGATGGTGCGGCACAACGTGATAATAAATACTGGCAGGTTCTCTGAAGGCAGGCAGTTATAGCAAACAACAGCATCTAAAACTTGCAAGGAAATCTTCGAGAGAGAAAGATAACATGGTTACACACTTCCTTAGGAATAAAGCAGGTTAAATCCTAGGCTGACAGGCGCAGGAAATCTTGTGGAAGTTAATAAAGACTGAGATACATCTTTCTTCTTTTGTTTTTTTTTTTTTTTAATGCAGGATAAAAAGTAACCCATAAAAACCACCGTTAAAAATTTGCTTAACAAACTTATGCATGCTCTGCTTCTTTTGGAATAAAATTACTTTTGTTGTAAGAGATATTCTGGCTTACAAACACTTCATAACACTGTATTAGTTCTCTTCTAAGATGAGAATAAACTGGGATGAGAGTCTGATGACCTGATTTTGTTCCTAACAGATTTGGTTTCAAAGAATTTCAAAGAACTATGAAGTATTAAGACAGACTCAAACCACTGACCTCAATGTCCACAGACGATGAAGTCTGAATGCACAAGATGCATATCTTGCTGTTAAGAAAGAACATTTAATTATAATTGTTTGCTTAGTATAGATTTAAGCAAATTACAAAGACCTAAAACAAAAAAGTAAATTGGCATGCAGTTTTCTCTTATCACTCTCCCTACTTTGGCATTTTATAACATTCCTAAGGACACTGGACAGTACAACCTTTTATAAACTGTTAGCTTAAAGTTGCACGTGAATAACCTCTCATTATGCCTTCGTTAATAAAACAGCAGACATCATATGAAACAAGGAAATTACATGCAGCATTTTAAACTAAAATGGATCTGAACATTGTAAAAAACTCAAATATTTGTCAGAATTGTCAGATATGACCCAGAACAAAAGAGATCCAGATCAGATTAAAAAGATTGCACTAATCTGCATATTAATCTGCAGCTTTGCCCTGTAAACAATTAAAGGGTAAAAAAAAAAAACTTACTGGACCATGTCAGCTACATAATCTTCCAGATAGCAGCTGTTGAATTTCACCAGGTTCACTAAAACCAAAAGGAACTCTGAAGACAAACCAACATCCATCCATTGCAGCACAAAGTCAGCTGTAGGGAGAAAACAAATCATTACAGTCAGCTTTCTGTCCAGAAGCGTTATCTCTACTGCCTTTTTCTCACACTGCTGGATGCCTCTCACTTGGCTTATTACAGGCAAACGTTAAGAGGAATAAATACTCACCTAACTCTTCTTCTAAGTAAGTGATGTATCGTCCATTTTCTGTTAGAGCCTTGAACACTTCAAGCCGTTCGTGCAAGTCTTCATTGGAGGGATAGTCCTTAATAACTTTAAAAAAATGTGCTCTGAGGATTCCTAATCTCTCACCCTTAGGAAAAAAAGAAGGGGGATAGGGGTAGGAGAAGAAGGTGGAGAAATAACAATGTCACTAAAGAAGGCCCAGAGCTGATCAAAAGCTGTAGCAATAAACTCGATGCTTGACATCATTTTCTTTTTCTACAGGCTATAAAAACAACTCTCTGTCTCTACTGGCAATTGCACAGGACTGCTCTAACATTTCTTTATCAGCATTCAGACTTGAAAGCTATTTTGTCCAGCACCACACAGACAGCATCCAATACACAAAGCAACCCACAGAAACCACAACTGACAGCACTGCCAAGAGAGCATTTATAAAACAGAGTGAAACAGAATTGATGCTTACTCTTTTCCTAAGCATCTCCCACTACCCTTACAGGATACAGCAAAGTAGAACTTTGGTCAGATACAGTCTTATGTTTGAACAGCACACTGTGACATCTGAAGAATTCACAGCATGCTTAACTTGGCCAGACTAGGAAAGTATCTCATAGAGAACTTGCTGCACTTTTGACATGCTGAAATATCAACAACTGCTGCAGACTGGGACTGACACATCTGGACACAGACCGTATGAAGTTTGCTGCACTGTGCCTGGATTTAAATTAAAGCACCAAAATAAGAAATGTGGAAAGTCGTAGAAAAAGGCTGCCCAATATCTTTTCACATTCATACTCAACACAAATCCAAGTTTAAGTATAGTGGTTTTTCTATAGTTTGTTTTCACCTGCCCTTGAATGATTGACTTTAGGAGATGAAGAACAGCATGTCTGGCTTCAGCTGGGCGCTCAGGCTGGAGCATATCAGCTACCACCTTCCATATTGCTTCCACTGCATGCTGCAAACAAACGTGAGAGGCAGTATAAGGAAAGGTAAGCTTCTTCTAGGAACTTCACCCAGCAGGTCAGCCACTAATTACTGCACGTTAATAAACAAGATCCTCAGGATTTCACGTCCAGAGTTCTCCTTTTGAGGGACACTCCCACCTGCCTGTCATAAGCTCTGGTGAAGGATGTGAGACACCAGTTCCTGGCCCGTATGACAACCTGCACCCCAGTCACTGAAGTTCCTCGTTCACGTGACATTTGTGCAGAAACCTTCACCCAAACACACGGTAAGTTTAAAGCCAATTGGAAGTAGCTTATTAACAGGACAGGAAGCCAGTAAACGCCCTCCCTGCAGGATTAACATCACCTCCTGTTAACTGTCCTGATCAGACCAAAATATTTACAGCATTATCCTTCCATTTCATGCATAAAGCCCAACAGCTACATGCTCTCTCCACCACAGCTGGCAGACTGAACAAGACTAATTTCCTTGGCACGTGAGCCATCTTACTACAGGTTTGGACAGCACAACATGTAGCTTCTGGGATTACCAATTTGAAAAGGCAGTCTGAACTACAGGAACTTCTTATGGTAGGCTAAGAGTTGTTGTTTACATTTTATGCTTCAAACACTCACTGAACACTTTGAAACTTACCTCTTCAATTTTTTTTGTTTTTGCCACTTCACAGATTTGGCTGATTGCTCGTATCCTATTACTTAATCCACATTCTATGCTCAGTTCCTGGAATAAAATGCAGAAATAAGCCAACAGTTTATCTTTCTAGAAACAGTAAGTCATTTCTCAAAGGGTTACAGGGCCATTGAAAAAGGAATTAAGGCATTTGCCCAAAATTATCTATTAGTCATCATCACTGGAGCTTTTCAGGAATCTCTCCAACAACATTTTTGCATGAGCACATGATGATTCACCAAAACGAGAACCTTCCCAGATCTGGAGCCAAGCAGCTTTTCACCTCCAGGACAGAACAACTCGATTTCTTTCTTCAGAAAATTTAATAACTCTGACAGTGGCATTTACTGAGCACACAGGAGGCAGGGAAAGGATGGACATAAGTCTCTCTCCAGCTTCCAGCCGGTAAAAGTCCAGCTGCTTCAGCACAGACAGTAAGAGATCCCAATCTCTTTCCCCCTTCTATATGTCACCCTCTCTGTCTGCTAACTATTCCGTTTACAGACTGACCAGACCAATTTCTGGAACTATCTGAGTTTTTCTTCCACAAAAATTTAAGCTTTCATAAAATAGAAATAGTTTTCAGCTTGCACTAACTGCCACTACATAAACTTTATCAAGCTCAGACTATCAATGCAAAGGAACTTACTTTGAGTCTGTAATCTGTCACAACAGAGAATAACATCACCCTATAAAATATCTCAAAACTATTTGAACACTTAATTAAAACACTGTAACTTCTAACTCCATGAATTTTACATGCATTTCACTAGAGAGTGAATTGAGAGATAAGGTAAAAAGGCAAGAACACATGGCAACAAAGAAAGCAGAACAACTGACTGAGAGCCCTCTGCCTTCCAAGCAATCTGGACTACACCTTTATACACATTTCTCACACCTTGAGTATTTCTGCAGTGATGATGAATTCCGTTTGCTTCCCCTCTGATGACTTTGAACTTCCCCGCGATGATCCCAGCCCCAGGAGATTCTTGAACTTCTCCTTCAGCCCCGAATCCTTGCTTTGAGGCTTTGCCATAGCTGACAAGAAAGCAGCGCTGAGCCCCTGCAAACACAGAGCAGTGACTGTTCAGGGAGGCCCAAGCAGAGTCTTTAAGTGTGAAAAAAAACAAGCTTCACAATGCAGCATTTACAAACAGCTCTGTTGTTTCAAGCTGTTTACAGAGAAGCCCAATGCCGAGTACAACACTGAGCTGCCCAGGCCTGACAGCACTAACCATTTGCTGGGAGCTCTGAGTGACCAACGCCACCACAGCCTGCACATGGCAATCTCCATTTTACCACCACTGAATTGATTTTTGAATCACAGACACGCACGCTTTGAGGCAGGCATGCACCAAAGTCCTCACTCTCTTCAACCACGGGTGCCCCATCCCTGGAGGCGTTCCAGGCCAGGCTGCACGGGGCCCCGGTCTGATCCATTGCAGACAACCAGCCCACAGAGGCATGGGGCTGGGGGGCTCTGGGAGCCTTTCTAACACGCTTTCCATTACTCCCAACCCAAAAGCAGTGCATGGGTCCCGCTCAACCGGTGATGTTACACGACTCCACGACAAAGCACGCAGCACGTTAAGCATGACGGCCTTCAGCACAGCGGGGCACCCTGCCCTCCAAGGGTCAGCCCAGCACTCCGCCCCCCACGTCAGGACACCCATCGCTGCGTCCCGGGGACACCGCACAAGCGCCGTAGCAGCCCCGCAGGCACCCAGACACCCAGCACCCCGCACCCCAACCGCTCCCCGGCACCCCGGAGATCCGCGGCAGCCATAGGCGGTAGCCATAGGCCGCAGCCCTGCGCCCGGGGCCGCTCACCCGCCGCAGGCCCGGCCCCGCCGCCCCGGCCCCTCTACGCGCCGCGCCGACCCCGCCTCTGGCGGAAGTCCCTCGAGACACTTCCGGTGCCTTCTGCTTCGCAGGGCATTCTGGGATTGGTAGTCCCGGATGTACCGGGCTGCTGCCATGTGCGCGGCTGCGCCTGGCGGCGGTGGGCGGGCGGCTCGGAGGCTCGGAGCTGCGAGGGCAGGTACGGGGTGGGGCTAGGGTGAGGGTCAGGATTAGTGCTAGGGTTGGGGTAGGGGCTAGGCCTAGATGCGTGTCCGACGGGGTAGGGGGCGGAGTCTGGGCCATTCTCAAAGCAGCAGCCCAGCTGAGGTCGTTGAGGGGTCTTGGGATGGGTTTTGAGGGGCTGTTATCTGTCTGTGGGGACACTGCCTCTCTGTAAGGGCCTTCTTTGCTCTCTTGCGGTGCTCCCGATTTCGGCTGTGCCCGCACAGGAGGTGCTGCTGGTTTGAGGTTATGGGGAAGGTGTGTTTGTCTCCACTCAGAACACTGGGTGTAGGGCAGGTGATGGTATCTGACAGCAAGTGTTGGCTTCAGGCATGAACATCTCCCTCTTGCAGGGGGCCGGGTCCCCAGTGCAGCCCCGAGGTACAGCAGGAGGACAAGGAGAGTCCCTATTGCTTATGAAGCTGAACCCAGGCCTGAGTCCCCTGGCCCCACATGGGAGCCAGAGAACTGGCGGCAGCAGCTGGAGCGCATCCGGGAGATGAGGAGGCACCGAGATGCTCCCGTGGATGAGATGGGAGTGGATAAATGCTATGACACCAGTGCACCACCGCAGGTAATGGCGTCCCAGGAGCATCACTAGGCTGCATAGTGCTGGTTTGGGCATCTCCATAACAGCAAAATAAATACAGAGTGCATCCAGTCTGAAGGCAGAGATCAGTCGTGCAGGAGGTTATGGCACAGGTACATGTGGGGGGGAGCTGGCTTATCCTGTGGGCAGAGAAGAGCCAGCTGCTTGCTGTCCTGTGCTTGGCTCAGTGCCTTCAGGCAGTCCTTGTGATGTGGTTCTGGGTTCTCTGCTCTCATTTAGCCCATTCTAACTAGCAAACACAGCTTTGAAATATGCTCGTCCTCTGCTTAAACCAGAGAGTTGCCAGCTTGAACCAACAGCAGAGGATGAGGCAAAAATGAGATGAATTTAGACTTAGAGTGGAAACCTCAACAACGTATTAGGGCTGTGCTTTCAGGGCTGGCTGGCAGAGCATGAAGGCATGTCTTTCTTTCTTTAGAAGTCTCTGCAGCAGTCCAAGGAGGGTGCTCATCCAGATGGCTCTGTAGCACAGAGGAAAAACAGTTCAGAGAGAAGGTGAGAGAGCTGATAACTCTCCAACCTGCTGTTGTGCTCGTAGAGCAACACAGAAGTGCAAATTGGCTTTCTTCCTTCTTGCAGCTCTCCTTTAAGGGGATGCCGGTTGAAGGATGGGGGCCTGCTGGAGTGGCAGTGTGTTCCCTCAGAATGGGAACAGTGGGGAAGGGGGGCATTTGCATCAGTACTAAAAACAAAGCAAGGCAAGGACACAGTGCAGGGCTCTGCTCTTTGTGCATTGGGGACATGGGGGACACAGAGGGAACACACAGACTGGCTCAGCAGCGTTGTGCCGGGTGGGAGAATGCAGCTGCAAAAGGATCTCAGAGAGCCTTTCGGCGTCTCCTTTCCCCCAGGTTATGCGCTACCAAGTTCTGCTGTCTCTGATGCTCTCTAGCCAGACTAAGGACCAGGTGACATCAGCTGCCATGCTCCGCCTGAGGCAGCGTGGCCTCACAGTTGACAGCATTTTGCAGATGGATGATGCAACGCTTGGGCAAATCATTTATCCTGTTGGATTCTGGAGAGTAAGTGCAGGATTAACGTTTGTGTGCATTAACCTCCTCCACCTTCCCCTGTTCCCATGCAAAGTCCTATGTCTGGGACTGCTTAGAAGCCCAGGAGAGGGACACAAGGAGGGTGGCTTGGCCTTTGCAGGCTGTATCTCATGGTCAGTACCTGTGCAGAAAGTAAGTGCTGAAGGCGGAAGGTGGGTGTGAATCAGCCCTGTGTCTGAGACTTCCCACTGTGTTCAGCCTTTATTCCATGCCATGTGGTGATTTTTTTCAAGCTGAAGGCTGTATTTTTATGCTGGTTTTAGCGATTTGTATTCACAGTAAGATTGTTTGCTGCCATGCCTGCAGAGTGCAGAGGAGGTTAGAGCTAATCAGCTTTCAGTATTTTGCTTTCAGAGAGAAATCTAAGATCTCTGTCACCTCTCTGCAAACTCCAGTACATGGACTCACACATAACCCACACCAAGGAATGTTTTTGTTTCTTTCCCCTGTATTGGAGGGCAGCTTGATTTTTCTGCTTTTCCCTTTGGTTTTCCAGAACAAGGTAAAGTACATAAAGCAGACAACAGCCATCCTGAAGCAGAATTATGGGGGTGACATACCAAGCACTGTGGAAGAGTTGGTGAAGCTGCCAGGAGTTGGGCCCAAAATGGCCCATTTGGCCATGAACATTGCTTGGAACAGCGTATCTGGGATAGGTAGGTTGAAAATGTGCTTTCCACATTTCTCTGTTCCTGAATCCTCCATGATCCATCCCTGAGCAGAGAGGGCTCGTTGCAAGCTACCTACCCTAAGGGAACCTAATAGCATCACTTGAGTCATGTGCAGAGTGTATGTTGTGCTCGGGTGGATGCAGGGTGCAATCCTCAACCATTCAAAGTGGATGTATTGCATGGACCCATTTACTGTTTTGCCCAAAATTTGAAGCAAAAATCCCCAAGTGCAGTCACTCCTTCTGCTCAGATGCTGATAAGCAGAGCAAATACTGCTTAATTGGGTAGGCATCCAAAAACGTGTCAGTAAAATAGAACTTTGAAATTTTATTGGTTTCAAGTGAAAGAGATAATTTTGTGATTTGCAGGTAGTTTTAGGGTGACCTGAGGCTTGGTAGGTTGCTTCTGCAAGCTGTTAGGAGGGTAGAAGTGTAGCTTAGTCTCTAGTGCCAATTGCTTGAAATCAGTTCAGTGGTTCATGATACACTATAGAGAGAAAGGGCTGCCCTGCAGAGCCAGCAGATGGGGCTGGAAGATCAGCACAACCCAAGGACTCTGGGGATGGATTAATATTCCAAGTGAATTTGCTGCTTAATGGAGGCCCCTGGGAAAGTCAATAGTGGTGCCACCTGATGAATGACTGCCACAACCCAAGGTCAGTGCGGGCAGCAGCTGACCCCTGCAGCTCCACTGGTGACTGTCAGCTGTGCAAAATGTGGCTCTTGTGTGAGAGCTCAACAGTGTTCAGGGTCTGTTGTTCTCTCCCTGCTATGGGGGAGGGAAGTCCACTGGGAGCCAAACTAGCCAACTGTTTTCCAAATAATTGCGTGTTCAGTTTTGATTTAGGAGGCAAGGCTTAGTCTTCCTGTTTACAGCAATTTCCTGGGTTTTGCCCAATTAGCCACAGAGACAGGTTTATCGCTGCTGATCTAACAATAATATACTTTGCATTCTGAGCTTTTTAGCTCAAAGCACTTTATAAACATTTGTTTAAACCTCACAAACCCTCTTGTGTTAGTAGGTATTATGAAATGCGTTTTCCATCTGGGTAAACTGAGGGGCAGAGATTGCAACTTGCGTAACAGCAGCTGAAATACCCGGAGGAAGAGAACCTGGGACAGGCTGCCCTGTGCCTGCTAGATCACAGTGCGGAAACCTTTGTAGGAAGGCTGCCTACGATTGTGTCAGTGTGTTGCTAGCTGTGTGGTATGAGATACCCACCCTGTCTGCTTTTGGCTCTGAGCTTAGGAAGAAACCAACATGTTTGTATTGTGAGTGAGCTTCCCCTTGTGTTCCACCTGCCCTATTCCTGCAGGGCTACAAAGGAAGCCCATTGCAGGGCATTGTACCTGGTTTGCTGTGACAGGCAGCCCTGGCTGTGCTCTCTGCATTCAGGCATGTTTGTTTCCCACCTAAACTCTGGGCTCTCCCTTCCTAGCTGTGGACACCCATGTGCACAGGATCGCAAACAGGCTGAAGTGGGTGAAGAAGGAGACCAGATACCCTGAGGAAACTCGGGTAGCACTGGAGGACTGGCTGCCCAGGTGAGGTGTGAGCCCCCAGCCTCCTTCTGCCTTGTGCTAGACAGAGGAGCCACATCTGCGTAAATCCTATTGCGTTTTCAGTGGCTGCAGTGTGGATCTCCTTCTTATGGATGAACTCGTCTGCAGATGTCTCTCTGCTCTCAGGGTGTTTCAGCAGCATCTCAACTACTGAGTGGTTTCTTTGCTATTAAATGTGTCAGCACTAGTTCAGGAAAGTACCTGGAGGTCTTGATACCACACTCACTTTCCTAGACAAACTTATTATGATACAAGCCAGGTGCCTTTCTGTTTGGAGCCCTGCTGAGCCTAATGGCCATAGAAGTAGCAGGCCATGGTTGGATTCTGACCTTCAGTGATGCTTAATCTTCAGTATCAAGTACCAACTGACAAGTGGAACATTCTAATGTCACATCTCCACATCTGACACATGCCTTAGCACAAAGAAATGACCACATGTGCTTTATGTGATGGTCCTTCCACATCCCCCACACTTCAGAGGGATCAAGAGGAGCTAGGGCTGTCCTTAGCTTCCAGGTGGTTTGGGAAAATAGGCAAAAGGTATCGGTGTAATAACATGGGCTGCTTAACCCCTCTAAGCAGCTGCACTGAAAAGCTCACTCTCTCTCTCACTGCAGGGATCTCTGGAGGGAGATCAACTGGCTCTTGGTGGGCTTTGGCCAGCAGACCTGCCTGCCTGTGAATCCTCGCTGCAAAGAATGCCTTAATCAAGACATATGCCCTGCTGCTAAGAGATTCTGAGAGCCCATTCTGGCTGCCTTGTAAGAGTAGAGTAAGAAGGCCACTTCAACCCAGAGCCAAGCGGTAGGAATGTTGTGCTTTGCATGGGGCTGTGTGACTGTAGAGAAACAGGAGGCTGCTGCAGCCAGCTCAGTGTTCTTAGGGAGTGGAAGCTGCTGTTGGTGGCTGAGCTCTCAAGAGGAAAAAGGGTCCTTCAAAGCACAGTAGTCCTGCTGCATCAGTGCTGCCAGCTCCAGCCCCCATGTGAATGCTTGAGTGCGCCCCAACAGTGCAGCAGGCTGTGCAGTGTCAGGAACAGCTGGAGAAATGCAAGACTTCCCGCTGCTTGTAAATATGTGTTGAATAAAGGTGGTGGGTTATTTTTTCTACCCATGAGGTTTGCTGGCATCTCTGTAACACAGGGTGGAGGAAGAAGAGCTCACAGTGACCAGTGAGCTCATAGCAACCAGCCCAGCAGCTGAGAGCAGGCAGCTAAGTCTCCTGCCTGGCCCTGGCAGTGAGAACGATGGTCAGTAAGGTCCAGCTAGAGATGTCACAAGCTAGGGTCAGAGGCAGCCACAGTCTGAACAAGTGACCTTTGAGTTCTGCTTGCAGAGGAGTCATGGGGGAGGCACAGCATGGCAGCAGGTAACAAAGCCAGCTTCACACTCTTCGAATATGCTGACAGGGTTTCCAGTAGCTGCAGGATCCAGGTTAGTGCATACCTCAGAAGCTGACACAAGGGCCACCACCACCACTGCGTGTGTTTTGTTCTTCAAAGAAAGGGCAATGCTGACTTCAGTGCAGAGCTTCAAAGGGATCATTTCAGCTACACTTTAAACAAGCAAGGGAGGAAGCAAAGTTTATAATGTGCTAAAGAAGGCAGTAATACCACCCTCAAGTTCTCACCACACAGATGAGGAATGAGCAAATAAGTGGTACATGGGAAAACAAAGTTTATTACTGACATTACAGTGTATATTATGTTTTTACAATACAGCTAACAGCCTTATACTTTATTGATTTTTTTTTTTTCCAAGTTAAATGTACAGGAACTGAATAATTACTACTGAGCTACAAGATGTCAGAAATACGATAAGTGCTTTAACCAGGAGCAATTTCCATGGACTAAGCAGAGATTAAGATTTTAAAATCTTATCAGTATGCATTTGCACACCTGATTTCTTTTGATCTGCTTTCAGAACGACACGTTCTTTCTTTTTCCTTCCCCCTTAACTACAGTGGTCCAGTCTTGTATGAGAAACGTGGTATTTACAAATGAGTCTTTGCTCTTAACGTGCATCATAGATTAAGTTCTTGGTGTAGTGGGGAGCACTCTGCCCTGCACAGAGCAGAGTACTGTGGGGTTTGGCTATGCAGGCACTGGGAACAATGTGCATACCGTGGAAATGTGGGGCTCCTTCAGTACTTTCTTAGTTCTTGTAGAAGCAAATATTTCAGGGACTAAAATGAGAGGAGCTAATCGTCTTTGAAGTGGGGTAGGAAAGAGGTCTGTAGCTAATGGCAGAGTCCTGGAGGGGAAGAAAAAAAAATCTCCCCTTATCCTGAGCCATCATCCTGCTGCCAGTCTCATCCTCAATAATCCAACACCTGCACCAGACCCTCTCCTTTTTTTTTTTTTCCCAACCTATTCAGCCCATCAACAGTTTGCACTTTCATAAAAGAGAAATCCTTTCCTCTGCCCCTGAGGGTTCCGTGCTCCCTCCAGCCAGCAGCCAAGCACTGGCCCTATGCTGCAGCCAGGAGAGCAGCACGTGGTATAAGGCACCTTTTAGTTCAGTGTTTAGGAAACACAGAGCCATGGCAATATCCATAGTGCACTGACTAATCCAAAGGCCTCTACCTTGTAATACAGCAGCTCTGGGGAGTAACAGAGTGAAGTCGCAGCCTCGTCTTTTGTTTAGATGAGTCATCAACACCCAAGTTATTGCTGCCCATTTGCATTCAGCTGGGGAACATGGCTTTACCAGATGCCCAGTCCCTCCCCACTGCTGCACGGCCAGCACACAGTGGAGCTCAGGGCTGCTGGGGGGAGCAGACCTCACAGCCGGACTCTCTGTGGTGCACTGCATTCCATTTTCCTCCTTCACAGCCAAAGGCAAGCAATAAAGAGCTTAAAACAACTTCAGCTGTCATGCTTTACATTTGGAGGATTTGAAAACATTCCTGGTATTAAAAGGAGGACACAAAACCAAAGCAATTGCCCCAACATCAAACCTCTCCTAACCAGAGTTTACTCCATAGCTGACCCTGTGGCCAAGGAGCACAGGGGGAGTGGGGCCAGGCTCAGTGTGCCCACCCCAAGGGCTCTGCAGTGACACACTCAGCCCTGCAGCATCTCTCACACTGTGAAGTTCGTGAGGTTGGTGGCATCTGGTACTGGGTTTGTGCTGTCTGTGCATCCCCCTCTGCAGCACTGAGAAGTGGAAAAGGGGTTGCCAGGGCCAGGACAGGAGTCGCTGCTGGGGAGGGAGGTCCCTACATTAACTGGAAACAGATGGGGTTTCATTCAAAACAACAGCAATGAGAATACTTTCATTCCCATAGCAAAGCTAGCGAGTGATTCACAGCCTCTGTCTGTTTTCCTATCATGAGGGGCATGCCAGCCCTCCACCACGGTGAGGTGCCCCCATCTGCACGGGAGCACAGAACATCCCATGGGGCTCAGCCTGGGACACCTGCAGACCCAGAACACCCCAAATAAAAAACAGTAACAAAAGCCTAAATAACGCAGGTAAGAAACAAGAGTGAAACTCTTCCAGTCCTTTCTCAGCAGGAATGGGGACAGCGGGAAGCCATCCAGGCTGAAAGCGAGCAAGGAAAGGAGCTTTGGTCACATTTGTCTTATGAGAATCGCTGGTGAGTAACAATAATAATAATAACAATAATAATAATAACAATTAAAAAAAAAAAAAAGACTTTAAAATACGCTTCATAAAAGCAACCAGTGAAGAGCAGAGCACAAAGCATCTCACGTGGACACTGCAGGAGTGCTGCGGGCACCTCCAAACGTCCGGGCAGGGCAATGAGCACTGCTTCCAGCAGGGCTCAGAAATTGCTGAAGATCTCCCTCTTCTTGTTCCAGTCCATCTGCGGAGCCCTCTTCTTCACCCTCTTGGCCCTCACCTTCTCCTTGGCCTCAGCTGCCGTGGGGCTCAGGCTCAGCCCACTCTCCTCAAACGGGTCCCTCTTCTCTGAGTCTCCATCCTGCAGGGAGGGACAGATGGAATCAGCAGATGACCTTATTGGAATTGTTACTCTGGCTGTTGGAACCACTGAGCAGCATCCAAGCCCTGTGCACCCAAGGCTCTGTTAATGTCAAAGGATGAGGAACGTGTTCTCTGGTCACCTTACCTGGAACACTGGCTCTTAATTCTGATCAAGGCTGGGAAATCAGTGCACTAATTACCCTGCCCGCAGCAGGGGATTGGAACTGGATGATCTTCAAAGTCCTTTCCAACCCAATCATCCTATATTCTACGTCACACACAGTGCTAAGTCAAAGCCCCTGCCCTGTGCTGTCTGTGATTTAACCAGCACAGGAGCTGCAGGGCCACAGAGTTCATCACTACACTGCAGCCAGTGCCTCCTGCCTGCCCACCTGGCCTTGCCCAGTGCATTCTCCTTTGGGCACTGTACAAAAGGGTGCAGCTTTCTATCTGCCTGATAGAAGAGCTTTATGGGAAGAAAATCAGTGACTTTCTAAAGTCACCGCCACTGCTGCAACGTGCCCTCAAGCCAAAAGCCCCCATTGCCCGTCTAATTCCTGTAATAGGTTAAATTTGACAAACACATTGTACCCTGGGGTACAGTTAATACGCAAGCCCAAATGCTTTGTGCTAAACACGCAGCACTGGGTTATCCCAGCCCTCACCTTTCCTTGGGGTCTACAGGGCAAAGAAGGACTGACCCTGCTGGGTGCTGCACCAGAGCTACTTTCAGTAGGTGAGCACCAGAGCAGCTGCAATGTGAAGCTCCTGCACCTGCACCACATCTGTGCCATGGTTTTGGCACACGATACAACTCCTGGTCTTTATGCCTGCAGAAGTGCCCTAGTGCAGTGCTTTGCATGCAACATGCTCACATAAGCACAGCAGGCAAACACGAAAAACAAAGACCTTCACTTTTAACATCTCAAAGGCTGTCCTGCTCTCTGGCATTGCTGCCCTAATGCATACGCACACGGTGCTTCCTGCAAGAGGACCTTTCCAGCTTCGCTCTGGCTCGCAGATGCAAACCGGTTCACATGCACTGTGCAATTGGGCCATGCATTATTTAATGCTCAGAGCAAAACAGAGCTGCCAGCCTGCAAGTGCCTGACTCTGCCCTGAATGCAGCTGCAGCTCACAGCCCCCCCTGCCCAGCCAGCTCTGGGTGCTCAGGGGGTGCATCCCTGCTGCAGAGCACTGCTGGGAGCACAGCTATGTGGCACTGCACATCTTCACCCCTGGTGAAGGGGAAGGAATGCAGTCATTCACGGCTGCACCTCACACAGATTTACAGGGCAAGGCATGACAGAACTCCCTGTATTGATTGCTGGGTGGATGCAGGCGTTCCTAAGCCTACAATTTGAAACTGAAATTGCATGTAAATGTGTTTTTACCATGGCATAAACATGTACATATGTATGGGAAAAGAAGGCAGCATGTGTTTGGGGTTTTTACCTCAGATTCCTTCCCAGGACTCTGAAGGTCATTGTGAGATGAAGATGTGGATCCTCCATTCAGCTGTGGGAAATGGAAACATTAGCTCAGGTTGTGCAGGGGCAGAAACAATGAAAGCCAGTAACCACGTGGGGACAGACTTCACAGCCAGCCCCCAGTGCAGCACTCCAGTGCCTGCGGGGTTGATGGCACATGCAGGGTGCCATTCCTGGGGAAAAGGCACAAAAGGGGCTGAGCCCAGCCTTGTGCAAGCCTGAAATTAAAGCTACAGCAGGACGCAATTCTAATTAGCCAGCAGCGGCTAATTGAGCTCAATGAACCTCGGCAATGCTCAGAGGTTCCCTCTGCTCTGAGGCAACCCGGGAGCAGGTAGGGACTCACCTGCATCTGTGCAGATCCGTTCGTCATGGGCTGAGGTACCACACCTGCAGACCAGGCAGAGGAAACAGTGAGCGCACTCATGGGGACTGCCGGGCTGGGCTCCATCACAGGGGCTGCAGTCCCAACATGGCCCCAGTAAGCCCTGCGTGCCCCCTGCCCTGGAGCTTCAGCCAGACCCAGCATGTGTTCCCCGGAACCATGTTCTGCAATCCCAACCTTATTTGATTGCACCCTGTTTTCATCACAACTCCCCTTCCAGGAGGTGGACTATGCCACTTCCTAAGCTGCACTCCCAGTGCATTCCTGTTTTTGACAGTGAAATCATTTTTCCTGGGAATTGTTTAATCGGAAATCTTACAGACCAGCCCAACATTCTTTGCTGAAATCAGCATCTTGGTGTTGCAACAGCATGTGGCAAGCAATCCTGCTGCCTTTCATGGACCTTGGCACATTATTGCCCACTTCCAATAATTTGTGTTAATAATGTTCCATACAATGGCAAATTCAATGCAGATGAGTTGCCAGTTCCCACAACCAAGTCACTGCTCAAGGCAGCCTGGGACAGATGAGACACAGTGCTACGGATGCGCTAATTGTGACAGGGTTAGTGACTGAATTATACTTAGCACAAAGACTTTCTGCGGGCACAGACCCCATTCTGTGTTTCTCTGTCGCCCCAGTGGGACCCTGAGCAGCCCCAGCCTACAGCAGCCGAGCAGAGAACACCACTGTGTGCACTCATTGTGCAACACAGCACCCAGTGAAGCAAGAGCAGCACTCGGTGCCAGAGCAGCTTGCAACTGCAGCAACCTAGGGCTTCTAACTTACAGCTCCGCAGCCATTGTGCATCATGGCATCAGTAAGGTTGGAAAAGACGTCCAAGATAACTAAGCCCATCCCCACCCCATCCCACCATGCCTACCGACCACGTCCCTCAGTGCCACATCTCCACA